CCATCCTTTTCATATATATGTCAGTCATATCCCAGTAGTCCTCGATGCTGAAGTCAGTATTGTTTTTGCAATTAGCTATATTGAAAGATCTGATAAAGAATTAGTTACAGACCTGTCAACTAGTAGTATTACTGACACCTATATATAATCCTGAACAAGACTTTTTGTTTTATTTTTCATTCCCTCAATAGATTTTTATTGCGTTTATCTAGATAACGAAATTTTAGGGATTGTATAATTGCATTTCTTGAATGGCTCTGTTTAGAAGCTGTCTTGAAGTATTCCGTGAGAACAGGAGTTTTATTCTCAAATACTTAAATACAAAAAGCTTCTTCATGTATAGAGGACAAGAACTCTGAGATGATAACATCTAAAGTCGTCTCATTGGGTTAAAGCGACTGACACTTAAAGATATTAATGACATCCACGTTGTGCTAGTTACACAGTAGCGAAGACTACATTTTGTATCCTCTATAAACCTAGTTTGTCAACTTTTAACTGTTATCCGTCATATGCAAAATGAACATGTAGTATAAAAAAAGTTTACACTGCACAGACGATTACATTGCAGTCAGGTGTTTTATTTATCTATCGTACCCTGTATCTTCATGCTACATTAGGTGTACACTTTCTAGCTCACACGTTCAAGGTAAATTTATTCAATTTCGATAAAGAAAATAATAAAGAACATAACAGAACCCAACGATCTCTCTTCATCTACAGATATCTGTAGTTGAAACAAACATAATTTAGGCAATACACTAAAATGTACAAGAAACAGATATTCTCTGTATCTATATGGATAACATATAATTTGAATAATTAAGACATAATTAAAATCCTAAGATCAATTCTTACCTAAGAGACCCAGAAAGGGAAGAAAAAGATAAATCTCCGTCCACATGTTGACAGCTCTCACAGAACACTGTAACCTACATGACTCATCACTGGCTTCCTGGCTTTCGGTTCCGTCCAAATATTATTAAAAAAAATCAGCCTTCCTCTTCTTACAAGTCACGTGGTTTCACTTGAGATAATTCGAGCCTCTTTTGATTTTAATTGGACATTTCAAACTTAAAACAATCTGTTCCGGTGAGGATTATTATGGCGGTTTCGGTCTGTCTACAATGACTTCTGTATAATCAATATATACACAGGCAGAGAATTTACTTGTTGAACCCGCTGTTAGTGAATGGAAAAACGGTAGCATGATCGTGATTATGCTCCATCTATTTAATCACTCTGGTAAAACGATATGTTATGACAAAAAAAATCGCCTGGCCTCACATTAACATGTGGCACGGGGTGGGTCAGGCTGAGAAAACTCATGATCTTGGGACCATGAGTGGACTCAGCTAGAGACACTGATGTGACAGGTGTGGATCCAGGAATTTTTAACGGGTTGGGCTGGGGAGAGGAGACCACCCCAGTCAAAAAAAATCTTACCCAGAATTTTTTTTTGACAAGCCAAAAAAAAAAAAAAAAAAAAAAACAAGGGAGGGGGGGGAAAAAAGAAAGTAAACAATCATATACCTGTATATATTAACTCTTTTATTTTCTTCATAAATCACTTTTAGAAATATTTAATGTTCCCAACAATTAAGGGAAATGAACCATACTCATACTGGAATTCTTAGCTACGTGAAATCCTGACCTTACTAACAGGGAATTACTAGCAGCTGTGATCCCCAATACAACAGGGTTACATAATTCTCCCCACCCTTGAGGGATCATGATTTGAAAAAAAAATGTTTATTATAGTTTGTTTGAAATTGACCAAGTGGGTTTTGAGAAAAAGTCGAAAATGCCCACGTATTTGTTTACAGACGACACACGACAACCAGACACTCCTCGAACAGAAAAACTCAGGCGATTTCATCTTTAAAAGATTTAAACGATGATGACAATAACAGAAGAATTTGAAAAGATACAGAGAAAGTCTATGACGTCTTGTACCTTAAACATTTTAGATTTATGCGTACTAGTATTTACAACCAAAATAAGTCCAAAAATATATTTACCAATCCATACTGTCCCCTTTTTCATTTTTTTTGTTTGCATAATTATGATTAATAAAAATAGGTTGTGAATCATATAGAAATTGAGGAGGTTGTACATGTAAGGACAGTCAATGAATGACTATAGCTTCTCTGTGTTTAAAAAATTCTAAAGAAAGTCTGCTGTAATTACTTCCACCGGAAACCAATACACAGGCACGCATTTGTATTTCAACTATACCACACTCACTTTAACGGGACCTCTGATGCATAATATCAAAAGAAGTTACATGTATTACTAAAGAAGTATGATGTAAATCATTTTCTTTGAGTGATGTTCTTTATGCTCTCAATGAGCTTTGCTTGTAATGTAAAGGTATAATGTACATGTATAACTTGATATATCAGGAAGTAGCATCCCCTTCCACAATTCCGTATAATCAAGTATTTTTTAGTTGAGGGTGGGAATTTTTTACGAGAAAATCTGCGGACTTATGTGGATTGGTCTTATTTCCATTTCATGCCAAGTGCACTGTACCTGCATTAGATTTTAGCATTGATTTTAGCAGTATTTATATGAAGTTGACATTAAAAAAAATGCTTGAGTTTCTGATTGACAATGTATCTATGTGATGTTTGGAGATCAGGTCTTCCAACAATCTATTGGAATTCCCATGGGTATCAATTGCGCCTCGTTATATTAGCACACCTATTCTTCTATTTATATAAAAAGGAATTTGTCCAAAATCTTAAACGTGAAAAGAAAACACTTGCCGTGGCCTTCTACTCGACATTTAGATATATCGACAGCGTATTGTCAGTTAACGATGGTTATTCCCATTCTTATAGATCTATGTCAATACGATATATCCCTGTGAACTTGAAATAAAAGATACCCAGGGGCGTAGTATCCGGGGGGGGCCAGGGGGGCCTGGCCCCCCACACTTTTTTTCCCAACCTTACTTACACTATAGGAAATGTTAATTCAAAGCCTGTTTGGCCCCCCCCCCCCACTTTTAGAAATGTACCGAAAATGTAGTATAAGAATTGGTACTAAAATACGGAAGCCCGTTGGTGCCACGTACGAAAAATATTTTATCTGGCGGCCGCCACATGATTTATATGGCGGCCGCCACTTCTGTATCTGGCGGTCGCCACTTATTATTTGGCGGCCGCCACTTATATATCTGGCGGTCGCCACTTATTATTTGGCGGCCGCCACATAAATTATTATGTGAAATGTGAGTGTCTTTGTTGGGTTAAGATATGATGGATGTTGACACAGCCGCTGCTTATTGATACAAAAATTAATGATAAAAAAGAATTCTTAAATATTGGAACACCATTCTTGGAAATCCAGAATGCAAAACTTTATTTAGTTCTCAAATCAAATATTAATCTGCTCTATGCAAAAACATATCTACTAGAAGTGTGGTTTGGAGTGTCGGGTCCTAATAATCTCTTACAAGTTTGGTTGATTTTCACACTGTATACACCTCTGAAATCACAGGTTAAAACATGCGCGCGCATCAGGTAGCCAAATGTTATCTGGCGGACGCCAGATAAAGAATGTGGCGGCCGCCAAATATTATGTAGCGGCCGCCAGATAAATTATGTGGCGGCCGCCAAATATTATGTAGCGGCCGCCAGATAAATATTTGGCGGCCGCCAGATAAATTATGTGGCGGCCTCCAAATATTATGTAGCGGCCGCCAGATAAATATGTGGCGGCCGCCAGATGTTATATAGCGGCCGCCAGTTAAATATTTGGCGGCCGCCAGATAAATATATAGCGGCCGCCATATAAATTTTTTGGCGGCCGCCATATATTAAGTGGCGGCCGCCAAATAAAAAGTGGCTGCCGCCACATAATTATCTGGCGACCGCCAGATATATAAGTGGCGGCCGCCAGATAAAATATTTTTCGTACGTGGCACCAACGGGCTTCCGTACTAAAAGTAGTTAACGCTGAAAAAAAGTTAACCTACCCCCCCACCCCCCACCCCCACCACCACCACCACCACGAAATAGGAATTTCTACTTCGGGCAACTTTTCCCTTTTTTTTTTTTTTTTTTTTTTTTTTTTTTTTTTTTTTTTTGCTTGTCAACTTTTTCAGGTAAGTAAAAAAAAATTTTTCTCTGCCTGGCCCCCCCACTTTCAAAAACGATGCTACGCCACTGATACCACAGAGTCTGACATAAACATCTCTTTCATATTTGGATATTTTACTTGAAAAAGACGTTAATGGTAATCTTACAAACAAGCTCTATAACAAACGTGGTGACTTTAACTTTTCAATCGTCAACTTCCCTTACTTACGCACCAATATACCTGCATTGCCTGCGAACGGAGTTGATATCTCCCAGTTGATACGCTACGCAAGAGCATGCTGTACGTATGTTCAATTTATAAAATGAGGGAAATTATTGACAAACAAGTTGATGTCATACAAGAATTAATATCAACAGTCTCGTTTAAAGTCATCAATAGAACTATGGTCGATACAATGACCTTGTCAGCAAATACATGCAATTTATTATTGAGTCAAAAGAATGCTGACTGACGATTTTCATACTTATTGTTAGTCCATTATTTACACAGTAAATTGACGACGGATTTTTCCGTATCTTTCCGATCATGACAAGGAGCACACGGCGGGTACGTGTGACTGGTCAGCAGGAGATGCTCTCTCCTCCATGGTACCTATAATCCCACCTCTGATGTTTTAGAGGACCGTGTTTGCTCTGCTGCTATTTTGTATTGTTTTATGGACTTTGAAACTTGAATACTGTTCGTTATTTCCATATATATTTCATAATAAGAACAAATCATTTCGATTCGAGTAAAAGCCTTTTTTTCCGGAAATGTTCAAGTCACAACTTCTCCGATAAGTTTTGATGACGTCATAATAGCATGCCATCATAGTACACTGACGTCACAAAGGTTGCGAACCATTGATTTGATTTGTGTACAAAGTGCCATTCGAAGACAAATTTATTACGAAACATTCTTAGATTGCAAAAATGGAGAGACGAGGGGAAAAGACATTTGAACACCGCTTACGGTCAAGCTTGCTAAAATATGTATTAAAAACAAACTCGAGGACGATGACGCCTGTGGTAAGCTTTAATTGTTAAAATGTTTGGATGTATTATAATAAAGGATACTATTGGCAATATTATCAGTTATGAATACAATATGAAATGAAAAAAAATAAATAAGTAACTTATGGGGAGAAAATTATCAGTAATAACTGGATAAAAAACACTTTTTAATAAAAATTATAGCAAGGAAGAATCTAACCTTTTCTTTCGTTTTTTCCAGAGAAAGAATATTCTTCAAATCTTGATGTTTTTGTACGGGGAGGAAACAACAAGCAATGATGCTGGATTTTCTTATTCCAACGAGAAAGACGTCGCTGGTAAGATACGGATTAACCTCACATTTCCTATAGACCCTACTTGTACCAATGTGTTAATCTATTCTTTATATCATGAAAATGACATCATATAAATTTATTGTTTTATTCATTTATAGATCAACAAAAGAAGTACGTTTTGTTTGCCTTCTTGTTTATGGAAGATCTAATGAAGAATTCTGTGACGGCTACAGACCTATCGACACTTCAAAGAATGTGGGACCAGCACCTACTGAATCTGGCCAACAGTGGTATGTTTGTATATAAAGGCCAATTATAAATTCAAATCAATGAAGACCTTTTTTAAATTATGGTTTCATGCACATTGCGATTTCAATACATTTTCAATTTTAATTTTAATGAACAATATTGCACAAAAGTTTACTTTCTTTTCAAATTTTGACTTGTGAAACAGTAATGTACGGCTTATATCACATTTCAATCATTTCTTGTATTTAACAATAATATATATTGTATATTATTTGTTCAGGAAACACAAAAGCAGCTGAAAATTATCAGAGAATTCTAGAAGACAGCGAGGAAACAATTTTTAATGTAAGTATTTACTAGTAACATAACTATACTTAAACCTACAACACCAATTCAAATAATTTTCCTAAATGCATTAATCAAGATTCAGACACAGTAGTAAGTCAATATATATATTTTAACCTATGTTATTCCAGATCAAGAGATTTCAACGTCAACTCTGTAAAACCAGAACTTTCTTGGCCAAGAACAAGGACCCCCAGCCACAGGAGCTAGGCTCCACTTTCCGGTTCAGAAAATCACACTTGGTGGAGAGGATGACCACAAAACTGAAGAAGCTGCTACATGTACAGCGTGACCCAGACGATTTCTTCATGCTCAAGTTCATGGATGTGAACTAATTACTGGGAACTTGGGACAGTGACAAAATGGAAGAAGCTATGACTGTGTCAATTCATGACTTTTGCTTCCTGATCAACAACCATCATCATTGTCATCACTACATCTACACTCTAAATATAAAAGATGTAATATTTTTTTCCTCACTCTTTTTTTTTTCCACAGAGAATCTCATTTGTTGTAGTGGCGTTTTAGTCACATACATTTCCATGATTCCTTTTTTTTAACATTACACACCTATTTGTTAATCGTATCCATCTTCATTTTGAACAAATAATTTATGTAAATAAACTCATTGATCACCTTCCAATTTGCTCTCTCTGCTTCTTTGACTCAATAATGAAACCCACAGAGTCAACTCTAAACCAGAGAGTCACTAATAGATTGAATAATGTATAACTTAACATGTTGCACGAATCTGATATGCTAAATATTGTAAGAGACAGTTCTGAAGACAAAATGTGGCTCCTAATGCAGTTATAACACTGATATCTCCAGATATTGGGATTATTTAGCCCCCTTCTTTGGGTGGGCACTAGCTTTACAGGTAAGGTCCTATCTTTACGGGCCAGGTCCAAGCTTTACAGGGCAAGTCCTAGCTTTACATGACAGGTCCTAGCTTTACAGGACAGATCTTAGCTTACATGACAGGTCCTAGCTTTACAAGACAGGTTCTAGCTTTACATGTCAGGTCCTAGCTTTACAAGACAGGTTCTAGCTTTACATGTCAGGTCCTAGCTTACATGACAGGTTCTCGCTATCCATGTCGAGTCCTAGCTTTTACAGGACATGTTCTAGCTTTACAAGACAGGTTCTAGCTTTACATGTCAGGTTCTAGCTTTACAAGACAGGTTCTAGCTTTACATGTCAGGTCCTAGCTTACAGGACAGGTTCTCGCTATCCATGTCGAGTCCTAGCTTTACAGGACAGGTTCTAGCTTTACAAGACAGGTTCTAGCTTTACATGTCAGGTCCTAGCTTTACAAGACAGGTCCTAGCTTTACATGTCAGGTTCTAGCTTTACAAGACAGGTCCTAGCTTTACATGTCAGGTCCTAGCTTTACAAGACAGGTTCTAGCTTTACATGTCAGGTCCTAGCTTACATGACATGTTCTCGCTATCCATGTCGAGTCCTAGCTTTTACAGGACATGTTCTAGCTTCACAGGACATATCCTAGCTTACATGACAGTTTCTAACTTTGCAGGCCAGGCCCTAGCTTTACATGTCGATCAGGTTCTAGCTTTCCGCATCTCTTGTATGAATACAAGCGTTTATAATTCCAAAGCCTTCAGTTTACAAGGTACATGTATCCTTGTGGTGGGACATTCTCATTCTATTATATATTATGGCAGAGTAATCCATTGATTTTTGAGAAGTATAAAAATAATTGCATATACAAGTATCTGCAAAGCTTTATGTCAACATTTGAAGTAATGAAAAAAGACCAAAGAGGTACTGTTAGCAGTGAGCTAACTAAATGATACCCCGCCTCCCATATGAATATAATGGCGCGGTGTCCATGTTTTGCTATGGGAAACCCAAAATATGTGTCGGATCAAAAAAAAAAGTAAAATAGGAGGTGCACAATGGCAATATGTAATAAATATTCTGTGAAAGTATCATCAAATTTCATTCAGTGGTAGGAGAGGAGTTGCAGATAAGAGATGCCAAAGCGTAACGGACAGACGGACGGACATCACGATTACTACATACCCTTACACTTTTCAAACGGGGGTATAATAATAATTTCTCTGCATGCATCTCATTAATAAAGATTCAGACACAGTAGTAGGTAAGCCAATATATATTTTAACCTATGTAAATAGACTAAATACAGATCAAGAGAGTCAGCATCGACTCAGTGACATCAGGGAATTCTTGGCTAAGAACAATGACCCGCTGCCACAGAAGCTAGGCTCCACTTTCAAAAAGTCACACTTCGTGGAGAGGATGACCACAAATCTGAGGAAGCTGATACGTGTAAAGCGTGACCCAGAGGATTTCTTTATAATCAAGTTCCAGATTACGAACAAATTCAGGTTGGCAAATATGAATTCTTTATGATTAAGTTCCAAGATGTGAACTAATTTGTGGAAACAACTGTCAGCTAGTGACAAAAAGGAGGAACTTCAAACTGTCATTTATGACAATTGATCAGCAATCTTTCACAGCATCGGATAAGACATCATCCAAAGTATCACCAGTGTCATCATCACAAAGTAGCTGTGCATCGTGGATATTTTACATCAATAGACTTAAGGTATGTCACTCGTCAGCTTTTTAGAAAAGTTCACGCAGAACCTCTTACTTAAAAAATATTTTTTTTAAATTCAATTTTTATAAAATATTTATATTCAACAATGTAAATTTTTTAACATTCATAGAAAAAACTGCTTAAAAATTTACAAAGAAGCAAGATTTATGAGGGACTATTTCGTGTGGTGGAAGGATATTCAGCAGAAAGGATGAGGTGACTTGCGGCCCCTCGTATACTGACAAAAAATTAAATGTCTAAATTTTACACAATTTTTTGTAGAATACTATTTTTAACAAAATAAGAAACGTGATTTGAAAGATATAGATCTTTTATCGGGGTAGGGGTATCATGTTTACATTCAATTCCCATTGCATTTTAACCCCGCCCCACTCTTTGAAGCCCTTAAAATATACGAGCGCATTTAGGTACAATTTTCTCCTTTGGCTGGTCACTGTATTTTATTGAAATCTACCTATATGTGAAAGAAGAAAATTGTACCTAACTGCGCTCACATGCTATTTTGAAAAAAATTGTAAAATCTAGTTTGCCTTTCCCATTATAAACAGGTCGACGGAACTAGATTTTCTGACGTAAAATTGAATTCATATGCTAATCGAGGCACAGGCGATACTTTCTAACTGACCAATCAGCTAAATGAAATTCGTTACGAGTGAGTACCACAAAAATACTATGGAAACATGCTTGGAATTTTACTGCTTTCCGATATTTTTTTATGCATTTGAGTCACAGATTAGACACGGATCTACATATGTACCATTTCGGAGACCTCTGTAAAATTGATATACAGTTACAAACAATTGATAGAATATACATGATATACATTAGTTTAAAGTTTTGTAGCGTGTTTAGTGAGCAATTCGCTAGGTCTACACGTATTCCCGAGTATCGGTGAATACAAGTTTCATTTGCATTTCTTATCCTAAAAACCATAAATGCTGAAAATCCATGCGTATTATTAAGTATAAACAGCATTGGCTGACCATTATAAAAGTTTGAAATGTAGAAAAGGACAACAAGGTAAATTTACCTAAACCACGTGTCTGCGATAAAATGTACACGTAGTAGACCAGCATGTTTTGTTGTTCTGTCATCGGACTGGACAATGACTAAGTGCGAAATAATAACAATAGCCATATAAGGTCTTCTCGGACACGCATATCCCTCTATTGTACTAAGACCCGCCCATTCTCTTGCCATAAAAGAAAATATTCTCACAAACCTGGCCGAATTTAGCTTTGATAGGGTCTAAAAAATCAAAGCTAATGCAGTATTCCTTATAACTAAAATGTGTCTGAACTATTGAAACTATTCAAAATGCGTCGTATTTCTTCACTCATGTTTGAAAACTACCTACATCGTTGTAGATTAAATATAATTCGTCGTGGAAAAAGGGGCCCCAGATAGCAGTTATGTCACATCATCCTTTGACGAGTGACTTACCTTAAATCATCATTAATTTTTGTAGCATTAGTCATGTTGGTATCGGATATTTCATGGTAGTCGTATCTTCATTTTCTACAGCACCTCATTTCCTATTGCGGCTTTCTAGTCAATATTTCTTCATTCAGAACACCCCACCCCCCCTCCCGTGATTCTCAGTTTAAACAATTTAATTTCAATTTGCATGATAATCATCTTCAAATTCTATGACTAATAACGTCTGGACCATTGAAAAAACTGTATATTTATTGTGCACAAAAATTTGCGGTTGGTTCTGGATTAATTCTTTCAAATTCTCTGATGTAAATCTCAAATGTAAAAAAGCTTAATTTCAAAACATCCTTAATTTTCTATCAAGTACTCTCGTATATAATTGACATCTGCGCGATACGAAAGCCCATTGAGCTCATTTTCGTAGTTTAAAAAAAATAATTTTTCGCGATATAACGCGTAACTTTCGCGTCATAAAGCGAAACTTTCGCGATATAACGCAAGACTTTCGCGAATAAACGCGGAATTCTCGCGAAATTACGCGAAACATACGCGAAACTTTCGCGATATAACGCGTAAGTTTTGCGTTATAACGCGAATCTTTTGCTGTTTAACCAAGACATTTACATAAGTCTTAACTTTCTTTTGATTTTGTGATCTTGTTTATTCATTACAAAGAAAAGCAAAAGGCCATTTTGATCTTCGACAAACACAAGCTACAATTTTTAAGTTTTCTTGCTACTGAATCCAACCCTTTCAGACGTTTTTTTTTACACTCTCAAGAGAATTTGAAATAAAATTATTAAGATTAAGATCTCAGAAAATTAAATGTGAGTGAACAATGTGTCATTGCAAGATCTTAACGTGTCATATGATGTTTTTAAGTAATAAATATAAATGGATAGTGTTATTTGAAATTGATCGACGAGGAGGGGTCTACTTTTTCTTACATGTAATTTTTCTCCAATATTTATATATCTGAGGGGTAATTGAAAAGTTTGTGGTTTAGCTCCATAAATCAAAACTATTAAGGGTCTACAGCAAACAAACTAGAGTCTTTACACTTTGAATTGATTGTCAATGTTTTCGTATATAAGCAACGGAATGACAACGTGGCGCAACCTCAAAATACGATGTCGTATTTCTACAGTGAATCTAACGGAGACAAATGAAAATTTCACATCTTATTTTCACCCATGTGGTTGGACACAATTGACAATTTTACCTTAGTTTGGGTTAAGCTATGTTTCTACGAGGTATAATTCTTAATTAAAAATGATGGGTTGCTTAATTTATTAGTGGTACAATTGTAGTGAATGTTACCGATAAAAATGCTTGAGAAAGTCTCAAGTGGAGACTTTCCTTCGGTAAAAAAATAAATCTAAAGAATTTCTTGAATTTAACAACTGAAAAACAGGTACAAGAAAATAAAATTCATTTTATTAATTGGTAGGGTTTTGAAAGAAAAAAAATTGATGACTATTCTATCCTATTCATGAACCATTCGCACATCATTTTTTCCAGGACATCTTCTGAGGAAATGATAATTAATTAAGAAATTCGTGAAAGATCATGTCAGCGTTCATGTTCTTATCTGTCAGTGAAGATCAAGGTTCCTTAAAACATTAATATGTGCATATAATTTCGCGAAATAACGCGAAACTTTCGCATTTATTCGCGGAAGTTACGCTTTATTACACGAAAGTTTCGAAAGTTACGCCTTATAACGCGAAAGTTTCGCGTAATAGTGTTATATCGCGAAAGTTACGCGTTTATTCGCGAAAGTTTCTCGTTATAACGCCAAAGTTACGCCTTATAACGCGAAACTTTCGCATTATAACGCGAAAGATACGCGTTTTTATGCGAAAGTTACGCGTTTATTCGCGAAAGTTTCGTGTAATAACGAGAAAGTTACGCGTTTATTTGCGAAAGTTTCGCGTTATAACGCGAAATTAACGCGTTTATTCGTGAAAGTTTGCGTTATATCGCGAAAAATTTATTTTTTTAAACCAACAAAAATGAGCCCAATGGGCTTTCGTAGCACGAAGCGCGTTAGATTGAATTATCTACAGGCACCTGAAGTATGGATAATACCCCTCTTTTTTAATGAAAAAAAATGTAAGAGTGTCTAATATCTCAAAATATAAAATTTCCCCGTCAAACACATTTAAAAGAATGACCCTATTCGGTATAATAAAAAGTGTATTTTTATTATACCGAATAGGGTCATTCTTTAAACGTGAGAAAAAGTAAAATTTGCTTGAATAGAACGGCATATAGATGTGTTTGACCGGGAAATTTTATATTTTTGAGATATTAGACAATCTTACATTTTATTCATTAAAAAAAGGGGGGGGGGGTATTATCCATACTTCAGGTGCCTGTAATTATCTTGAATTGCAAACAAAATTGGCAGTTTAAAAAAAAAATTCGATCATCTCAATCATGTCAATGTTAGGTCCAGGAGAACTATTAACAACAGTTATTAGGAATGTTTGTTGTGGAAACAGTGATTGAGTGAAAGAAAAATATGTAAGGATCACACGGTTAGTAATATTTTGAGATGACAATTTGAAAAACACGGAGAAATAAATCGCAATAGCGCACATTTTGTGCGAAATAAATATACGGTTTTTTCGGTGGGAAGCTCCTGTATATAGCTCATCGTCCAAAGCAACGTTCCGGAGTACGTATCTGAAAGATAGATTCCAATATCAACTTTTTTGCGGGAGTCGGTAGTCGGTACTTCCAGTTAAAATTGCCATCAGAAATGAATTCAAGAAACCATGGAAGAGTATAATATAGTTTCCTTTTTTTAATTCATTTTATTTCTTGTATTACAAATATTAACAAAGACGTATGTCTCTTGTTTAACTTGTTTTGTTTTGTTTTCTTGTCAAGACATTTCTGGGTAGGAAATTTGTTGACTGGGGATGCCCACAAACACCACTAAATGTTTTCCCATAGACTTCCATACAAACTTGAGCCCCGGTCACTCATACATATATTGAATTTCGGGCAAATGGCCTTTTTGTCGTGAAAGTTCGAGATATTGGAAAACAAAACATGACAGAAAAAATATACCGTCACGCGGCACTTTTACTTTCAATTTCCATTTGTTTACAACAAGGTGCGTTTGACACCAAATGAAAATCTCTAACCAAAGGGCACCCCTCCTTTCAAATTTTTACCTGTAACTCCTACATATCTCAAAGAAACCCAAGTCTTGATATTACATTTTTATCAACTTTATTTCACTTGTCAAATACATATCAAGTCTTTTCTCTTATTGACCAATCACGCGCCAGGTAGCATTTTCTCCTCCGCACAACTTTGGGTGTCCAAAATGTCTGCGCCCATGTATTTGTTTATGTAGGGGTTTTTCCTATAGAGTAAAAGAAACATTTATAAAAAGTGGTCAATTTAGTAAATTTAGAGCACATATCCATTGCTTATCTCACCTCTTGAATATTGGGACTGACAGTCTTAGCTTAAGTACACCACTGGCTGTTACATTTCACACCCCAGTCAATCAGACCCTCATCTGTTAAACAGAAAAAATGTCAATAAATTGAAGCATTTTTCCTTTTTTTCTTTCAAACTTTTAAAATAAAATGATTAATCTCGCAGAACTTTTGCTTGTTTTTCTTATTCTCTCTAATACTATCTCAAGGTAGATCATGTTAATCATTCAGGGTAGCAGGTACCCGTTATTAATGGAAAATGAAGAAAATCAGCAGGTTTTTGTAAGAAAAAGCTAGGTTATTGAAAAAGTGAAAACTAATGTAGATAAAATAATCAATGGAAAGAAAGAGAATTATATGTAGTTCAAATGTACATAAGATTAAAAAAAAAATCTATCAGCAGTGGGTTGCTGGCATCAGAGAATCAAATACATCCCCACTGAAAATTTTGTAATTTTGAAGGGGGGTGACCTACAGTTTAGCCAATTTTCATGGACATTTCATGGAATTGATGTTAAATATGTATATTCTCATGAAAGGCAAATATATTCATTTGCATATCATTTCTTATTATTGACATAATTAATAAATTGATTAAATGCCAAGGGCAGATAAATCATATTGTCTGATTGAATACAGTGCTCAATTGTAAGCAAAGTGCTTAAATAACTGCAGTTCTGGAAATTTATTTTCTAATAATCTATCAAAAGTTCTAAATAACTTAAATATTAAGAGATTAACTAGATTTTCTAGGAAAACCATACCTTGGAACTCTTAATGAAAGCAAAGGGACCATCCTGAGAGTGTCCATGTGTTGTTCATTGTAAGAGGGGAGGGTTCATTAATCTCCTCCTTCTTGAGAATGCATCACTGAAATACATTTTGTTTTATTAAAACATACTGATAAATGCATGTAGTAGCTTATATTATATTTTTTTTATTATTTACACCATCTTTTGAATTTTTTATAAGCATTAGTGATGAAATAGCTTTAAAATATTCATGTTTAAATAGAATTTACTGAGATAAATATTTTTAAAAATATCTAAGAAATTAAAAAAAAAAATAACTGCAGATAAGCATGACTCTTGTTGTTCAAATAAACCACATTTTGATAAAATTCCTTCATTTTCCAGCATCATTAGAGTACAAAATCCCCCCCCCCCCTCTTTTCTGCAGAATAACAAGATTGGATATGGCAAGGAGGAAGGATATTCAGACACTTTTTTCATCATTTTTGCAATAATAATTTTGCAAATTTCTTAGATTTTCAATGTATTTTCTGCTAAAATATATTTTACAGTAATCTCAATTAAATTTCCTACTAGTAATCTGTAATTTTTCCCCAAACTATAATTTTTATATCAAGCCAGCACTGATTACAGGACTGAAATTGGCTTTGTTGCTGGATTAGGCCCCTTAATTAAAAACAAAGTAACCTAATTACTTAACAGCAGTCTAATTTTGTTATAAATTATTCAATTAACTCTAATTTACACAAATTTGAAAGAGGATTAGTCAATCTGTTCCAATGTCTGCACTCATAAAATAAATGGATTTAAATGAATTTCTCAAACTGCAAGGGGGATATTCATATGTTCTGTGTATTGATGATGCCCATAAACATCAATATTGTATTATTTACAATATTCACAGTAAATTTCAGCAGAAATATTTATTTAAAATTATTTACATGTACATTTATTGAAAATATGAGAGCTAGGGCAAAAAAATTAGCATTTTTTCACCATGTGCAGCCCCCATTGTGGGCCTCAATTTACCCAAACCCTCTATTTTTTTAAGAAATAGTAAAAACTAATTAAAATATGATCTCAATGCCAAAAAAATAGGAACTGATTGATTTTTTGGCTGTAATCAATGTTTTTCCATGAAATACATACCTATTCTATAGGACAAACACCACTAAATGTTTTCCATAGACTTCCATACAAACTTGAGCCCCTGTCACTCATACATATATTGAATTTCGGGCAAATGGCCTTTTTGTCGTGAAAGTTCGAGATATTGGAAAACAAAACATGACAGAAAAAATATACCGTCACGCGGCACTTTTACTTTCAATTTCCATTTGTTTACAACAAGGTGCGTTTGACACCAAATGAAAATCTCTAACCAAAGGGCACCCCTCCTTTCAAATTTTTACCTGTAACTCCTACATATCTCAAAGAAACCCAAGTCTTGATATTACATTTTTATCAACTTTATTTCACTTGTCAAATACATATCAAGTCTTTTCTCTTATTGACCAATCACGCGCCAGGTAGCATTTTCTCCTCCGCACAACTTTGGGTGTCCAAAATGTCTGCGCCCATGTATTTGTTTATGTAGGGGTTTTTCCTATAGAGTAAAAGAAACATTTATAAAAAGTGGTCAATTTAGTAAATTTAGAACACACATCCATTGCTTATCTCACCTCTTGAATATTGGGACTGACAGTCTTAGCTTAAGTACACCATTGACTGTTACATTTCACACCCCAGTCAATCAGACCCTCATCTGTTAAACAGAAAAAATGTCAATAAATTGAAGCATTTTTCCTTTTTTTCTTTCAAACTTTTAAAATAAAATGATTAATCTCGCATATCTTTTGCTTGTTTTTCTTATTCTCTCTAATACTATCTCAAGGTAGATCATGTTAATCATTCAGGGGGTAGCAGGTACCCGTTATTAATGGAAAATGAAGAAAATCAGCAGGTTTTTGTAAGAAAAAGCTAGGTTATTGAAAAAGTGAAAACTAATGTAGATAAAATAATCAATGGAAAGAAAGAGAATTATATGTAGTTCAAATGTACATAAGATTAAAAAAAAAATCTATCAGCAGTGGGTTGCTGGCATCAGAGAATCAAATACATCCCCACTGAAAATTTTGTAATTTTGAAGGGGGGTGACCTACAGTTTAGCCAATTTTCATGGACATTTCATGGAATTGATGTTAAATATGTATATTCTCATGAAAGGCAAATATATTCATTTGCATATCATTTCTTATTATTGACATAATTAATAAATTGATTAAATGCCAAGGGCAGATAAATCATATTGTCTGATTGAATACAGTGCTCAATTGTAAGCAAAGTGCTTAAATAACTGCAGTTCTGAAGAAATTTATTTTCTAATAATCTATCAAAAGTTCTAAATAACTTAAATATTAAGAGATTAACTAGATTTTCTAGGAAAACCATACCTTGGAACTCTTAATGAAAGCAAAGGGACCATCCTGAGAGTGTCCATGTGTTGTTCATTGTAAGAGGGGAGGGTTCATTAATCTCCTCCTTCTTGAGAATGCATCACTGAAATACATTTTGTTTTATTAAAACATACTGATAAATGCATGTAGTAGCTTATATTCTATTTTTTTTATTATTTACACCATCTTTTGAATTTTTTATAAGCATTAGTGATGAAATAGCTTTAAAATATTCATGTTTAAATAGAATTTACTGAGATAAATATTTTTAAAAATATCTAAGAAATTAAAAAAAAAAATAACTGCAGATAAGCATGACTCTTGTTGTTCAAATAAACCACATTTTGATAAAATTCCTTCATTTTCCAGCATCATTAGAGTACAAAATCCCCCCCCCCCCCTCTTTTCTGCAGAATAACAAGATTGGATATGGCAAGGAGGAAGGATATTCAGACACTTTTTTCATCATTTTTGCAATAATAATTTTGCAAATTTCTTAGATTTTCAATGTATTTTCTGCTAAAATATATTTTACAGTAATCTCAATTAAATTTCCTACTAGTAATCTGTAATTTTTCCCCAAACTATAATTTTTATATCAAGCCAGCACTGATTACAGGACTGAAATTGGCTTTGTTGCTGGATTAGGCCCCTTAATTAAAAACAAAGTAACCTAATTACTTAACAGCAGTCTAATTTTGTTATAAATTATTCAATTAACTCTAATTTACACAAATTTGAAAGAGGATTAGTCAATCTGTTCCAATGTCTGCACTCATAAAATAAATGGATTTAAATGAATTTCTCAAACTGCAAGGGGGATATTCATATGTTCTGTGTATTGATGATGCCCATAAACATCAATATTGTATTATTTACAATATTCACAGTAAATTTCAGCAGAAATATTTATTTAAAATTATTTACATGTACATTTATTGAAAATATGAGAGCTAGGGCAAAAAAATTAGCATTTTTTCACCATGTGCAGCCCCCATTGTGGGCCTCAATTTACCCAAACCCTCTATTTTTTTAAGAAATAGTAAAAACTAATTAAAATATGATCTCAATGCCAAAAAAATAGGAACTGATTGATTTTTTGGCTGTAATCAATGTTTTTCCATGAAATACATACCTATTCTATAGGACAAACACCACTAAATGTTTTCCCATAGACTTCCATACAAACTTGAGCCCCTGTCACTCATACATATATTGAATTTCGGGCAAATGGCCTTTTTGTCGTGAAAGTTCGAGATATTGGAAAACAAAACATGACAGAAAAAATATACCGTCACGCGGCACTTTTACTTTCAATTTCCATTTGTTTACAACAAGGTGCGTTTGACACCAAATGAAAATCTCTAACCAAAGGGCACCCCTCCTTTCAAATTTTTACCTGTAACTCCTACATATCTCAAAGAAACCCAAGTCTTGATATTACATTTTTATCAACTTTATTTCACTTCACTTGTCAAATACATATCAAGTCTTTTCTCTTATTGACCAATCACGCGCCAGGTAGCATTTTCTCCTCCGCACAACTTTGGGTGTCCAAAATGTCTGCGCCCATGTATTTGTTTATGTAGGGGTTTTTCCTATAGAGTAAAAGAAACATTTATAAAAAGTGGTCAATTTAGTAAATTTAGAACACACATCCATTGCTTATCTCACCTCTTGAATATTGGGACTGACAGTCTTAGCTTAAGTACACCATTGACTGTTACATTTCACACCCCAGTCAATCAGACCCTCATCTGTTAAACAGAAAAAATGTCAATAAATTGAAGCATTTTTCCTTTTTTTCTTTCAAACTTTTAAAATAAAATGATTAATCTCGCATATGTTTTGCTTGTTTTTCTTATTCTCTCTAATACTATCTCAAGGTAGATCATGTTAATCATTCAGGGTAGCAGGTACCCGTTATTAATGGAAAATGAAGAAAATCAGCAGGTTTTTGTAAGAAAAAGCTAGGTTATTGAAAAAGTGAAAACTAATGTAGATAAAATAATCAATGGAAAGAAAGAGAATTATATGTAGTTCAAATGTACATAAGATTAAAAAAAAAATCTATCAGCAGTGGGTTGCTGGCATCAGAGAATCAAATACATCCCCACTGAAAATTTTGTAATTTTGAAGGGGGGTGACCTACAGTTTAGCCAATTTTCATGGACATTTCATGGAATTGATGTTAAATATGTATATTCTCATGAAAGGCAAATATATTCATTTGCATATCATTTCTTATTATTGACATAATTAATAAATTGATTAAATGCCAAGGGCAGATAAATCATATTGTCTGATTGAATACAGTGCTCAATTGTAAGCAAAGTGCTTAAATAACTGCAGTTCTGAAGAAATTTATTTTCTAATAATCTATCAAAAGTTCTAAATAACTTAAATATTAAGAGATTAACTAGATTTTCTAGGAAAACCATACCTTGGAACTCTTAATGAAAGCAAAGGGACCATCCTGAGAGTGTCCATGTGTTGTTCATTGTAAGAGGGGAGGGTTCATTAATCTCCTCCTTCTTGAGAATGCATCACTGAAATACATTTTGTTTTATTAAAACATACTGATAAATGCATGTAGTAGCTTATATTATATTTTTTTTATTATTTACACCATCTTTTGAATTTTTTATAAGCATTAGTGATGAAATAGCTTTAAAATATTCATGTTTAAATAGAATTTACTGAGATAAATATTTTTAAAAATATCTAAGAAATTAAAAAAAAAAATAACTGCAGATAAGCATGACTCTTGTTGTTCAAATAAACCACATTTTGATAAAATTCCTTCATTTTCCAGCATCATTAGAGTACAAAATCCCCCCCCCCCTCTTTTCTGCAGAATAACAAGATTGGATATGGCAAGGAGGAAGGATATTCAGACACTTTTTTCATCATTTTTGCAATAATAATTTTGCAAATTTCTTAGATTTTCAATGTATTTTCTGCTAAAATATATTTTACAGTAATCTCAATTAAATTTCCTACTAGTAATCTGTAATTTTTCCCCAAACTATAATTTTTATATCAAGCCAGCACTGATTACATGACTGAAATTGGCTTTGTTGCTGGATTAGGCCCCTTAATTAAAAACAAAGTAACCTAATTACTTAACAGCAGTCTAATTTTGTTATAAATTATTCAATTAACTCTAATTTACACAAATTTGAAAGAGGATTAGTCAATCTGTTCCAATGTCTGCACTCATAAAATAAATGGATTTAAATGAATTTCTCAAACTGCAAGGGGGATATTCATATGTTCTGTGTATTGATGATGCCCATAAACATCAATATTGTATTATTTACAATATTCACAGTAAATTTCAGCAGAAATATTTATTTAAAATTATTTACATGTACATTTATTGAAAATATGAGAGCTAGGGCAAAAAAATTAGCATTTTTTCACCATGTGCAGCCCCCATTGTGGGCCTCAATTTACCCAAACCCTCTATTTTTTTAAGAAATAGTAAAAACTAATTAAAATATGATCTCAATGCCAAAAAAATAGGAACTGATTGATTTTTTGGCTGTAATCAATGTTTTTCCATGAAATACATACCTATTCTATAGGACAAACACCACTAAATGTTTTCCCATAGACTTCCATACAAACTTGAGCCCCTGTTACTCATACATATATTGAATTTCGGGCAAATGGCCTTTTTGTCGTGAAAGTTCGAGATATTGGAAAACAAAACATGACAGAAAAAATATACCGTCACGCGGCACTTTTACTTTCAATTTCCATTTGTTTACAACAAGGTGCGTTTGACACCAAATGAAAATCTCTAACCAAAGGGCACCCCTCCTTTCAAATTTTTACCTGTAACTCCTACATATCTCAAAGAAACCCAAGTCTTGATATTACATTTTTATCAACTTTATTTCACTTGTCAAATACATATCAAGTCTTTTCTCTTATTGACCAATCACGCGCCAGGTAGCATTTTCTCCTCCGCAAACTTTGGGTGTCCAAAATGTCTGCGCCCATGTATTTGTTTATGTAGGGGTTTTTCCTATAGAGTAAAAGAAACATTTATAAAAAGTGGTCAATTTAGTAAATTTAGAACACACATCCATTGCTTATCTCACCTCTTGAATATTGGGACTGACAGTCTTAGCTTAAGTACACCATTGACTGTTACATTTCACACCCCAGTCAATCAGACCCTCATCTGTTAAACAGAAAAAATGTCAATAAATTGAAGCATTTTTCCTTTTTTTCTTTCAAACTTTTAAAATAAAATGATTAATCTCGCATATGTTTTGCTTGTTTTTCTTATTCTCTCTAATACTATCTCAAGGTAGATCATGTTAATCATTCAGGGTAGCAGGTACCCGTTATTAATGGAAAATGAAGAAAATCAGCAGGTTTTTGTAAGAAAAAGCTAGGTTATTGAAAAAGTGAAAACTAATGTAGATAAAATAATCAATGGAAAGAAAGAGAATTATATGTAGTTCAAATGTACATAATAAGATTAAAAAAATCTATCAGCAGTGGGTTGCTGGCATCAGAGAATCAAATACATCCCCACTGAAAATTTTGTAATTTTGAAGGGGGGTGACCTACAGTTTAGCCAATTTTCATGGACATTTCATGGAATTGATGTTAAATATGTATATTCTCATGAAAGGCAAATATATTCATTTGCATATCATTTCTTATTATTGACATAATTAATAAATTGATTAAATGCCAAGGGCAGATAAATCATATTGTCTGATTGAATACAGTGCTCAATTGTAAGCAAAGTGCTTAAATAACTGCAGTTCTGAAGAAATTTATTTTCTAATAATCTATCAAAAGTTCTAAATAACTTAAATATTAAGAGATTAACTAGATTTTCTAGGAAAACCATACCTTGGAACTCTTAATGAAAGCAAAGGGACCATCCTGAGAGTGTCCATGTGTTGTTCATTGTAAGAGGGGAGGGTTCATTAATCTCCTCCTTCTTGAGAATGCATCACTGAAATATGTTTTATTAAAACATACTGATAAATGCATGTAGTAGCTTATATTATATTTTTTTTATTATTTACACCATCTTTTGAATTTTTTATAAGCATTAGTGATGAAATAGCTTTAAAATATTCATGTTTAAATAGAATTTACTGAGATAAATATTTTTAAAAATATCTAAGAAATTAAAAAAAAAAAAAACTGCAGATAAGCATGACTCTTGTTGTTCAAATAAACCACATTTTGATAAAATTCCTTCATTTTCCAGCATCATTAGAGTACAAAATCCCCCCCCCCCCTCTTTTCTGCAGAATAACAAGATTGGATATGGCAAGGAGGAAGGATATTCAGACACTTTTTTCATCATTTTTGCAATAATAATTTTGCAAATTTCTTAGATTTTCAATGTATTTTCTGCTAAAATATATTTTACAGTAATCTCAATTAAATTTCCTACTAGTAATCTGTAATTTTTCCCCAAACTATAATTTTTATATCAAGCCAGCACTGATTACATGACTGAAATTGGCTTTGTTGCTGGATTAGGCCCCTTAATTAAAAACAAAGTAACCTAATTACTTAACAGCAGTCTAATTTTGTTATAAATTATTCAATTAACTCTAATTTACACAAATTTGAAAGAGGATTAGTCAATCTGTTCCAATGTCTGCACTCATAAAATAAATGGATTTAAATGAATTTCTCAAACTGCAAGGGGGATATTCATATGTTCTGTGTATTGATGATGCCCATAAACATCAATATTGTATTATTTACAATATTCACAGTAAATTTCAGCAGAAATATTTATTTAAAATTATTTACATGTACATTTATTGAAAATATGAGAGCTAGGGCAAAAAAATTAGCATTTTTTCACCATGTGCAGCCCCCATTGTGGGCCTCAATTTACCCAAACCCTCTATTTTTTAAGAAATAGTAAAAACTAATTAAAATATGATCTCAATGCCAAAAAAATAGGAACTGATTGATTTTTTGGCTGTAATCAATGTTTTTCCATGAAATACATACCTATTCTATAGGACAAACACCACTAAATGTTTTCCCATAGACTTCCAACAAACTTGAGCCCCTGTCACTCATACATATATTGAATTTTGGGCAAATGGCCTTTTTGTCGTGAAAGTTCGAGATATTGGAAAACAAAACATGAAACTGTCACGCGGCAAAAAATTTGTTTACAACAAGGTGCGTTTGACACCAAATGAAAATCTCTAACCAAAGGGCAAAATTTTTACCTGTAACTCCTACATATGAAACCCAAGTCTTGATATTTTTTTATCAACTTTATTTCACTTGTCAAATACATATCAAGTCTTTTCTCTTATTGACCAATCACGCGCCAGGTAGCATTTTCTCCTCCGCACAACTTTGGGTGTCCAAAATGTCTGCGCCCATGTATTTGTTTATGTAGGGGTTTTTCCTATAGAGTAAAAGAAACATTTATAAAAAGTGGTCAATTTAGTAAATTTAGAACACACATCCATTGCTTATCTCACCTCTTGAATATTGGGACTGACAGTCTTAGCTTAAGTACACCATTGACTGTTACATTTCACACCCCAGTCAATCAGACCCTCATCTGTTAAACAGAAAAAATGTCAATAAATTGAAGCATTTTTCCTTTTTTTCTTTCAAACTTTTAAAATAAAATGATTAATCTCGCAGATCTTTTGCTTGTTTTTCTTATTCTCTCTAATACTATCTCAAGGTAGATCATGTTAATCATTCAGGGTAGCAGGTACCCGTTATTAATGGAAAATGAAGAAAATCAGCAGGTTTTTGTAAGAAAAAGCTAGGTTATTGAAAAAGTGAAAACTAATGTAGATAAAATAATCAATGGAAAGAAAGAGAATTATATGTAGTTCAAATGTACATAAGATTAAAAAAAAAATCTATCAGCAGTGGGTTGCTGGCATCAGAGAATCAAATACATCCCCACTGAAAATTTTGTAATTTTGAAGGGGGGTGACCTACAGTTTAGCCAATTTTCATGGACATTTCATGGAATTGATGTTAAATATGTATATTCTCATGAAAGGCAAATATATTCATTTGCATATCATTTCTTATTATTGACATAATTAATAAATTGATTAAATGCCAAGGGCAGATAAATCATATTGTCTGATTGAATACAGTGCTCAATTGTAAGCAAAGTGCTTAAATAACTGCAGTTCTGAAGAAATTTATTTTCTAATAATCTATCAAAAGTTCTAAATAACTTAAATATTAAGAGATTAACTAGATTTTCTAGGAAAACCATACCTTGGAACTCTTAATGAAAGCAAAGGGACCATCCTGAGAGTGTCCATGTGTTGTTCATTGTAAGAGGGGAGGGTTCATTAATCTCCTCCTTCTTGAGAATGCATCACTGAAATACATTTTGTTTTATTAAAACATACTGATAAATGCATGTAGTAGCTTATATTATATTTTTTTTATTATTTACACCATCTTTTGAATTTTTTATAAGCATTAGTGATGAAATAGCTTTAAAATATTCATGTTTAAATAGAATTTACTGAGATAAATATTTTTAAAAATATCTAAGAAATTAAAAAAAAAAATAACTGCAGATAAGCATGACTCTTGTTGTTCAAATAAACCACATTTTGATAAAATTCCTTCATTTTCCAGCATCATTAGAGTACAAAATCCCCCCCCCCTCTTTTCTGCAGAATAACAAGATTGGATATGGCAAGGAGGAAGGATATTCAGACACTTTTTTCATCATTTTTGCAATAATAATTTTGCAAATTTCTTAGATTTTCAATGTATTTTCTGCTAAAATATATTTTACAGTAATCTCAATTAAATTTCCTACTAGTAATCTGTAATTTTTCCCCAAACTATAATTTTTATCAAGCCAGCACTGATTACATGACTGAAATTGGCTTTGTTGCTGGATTAGGCCCCTTAATTAAAAACAAAGTAACCTAATTACTTAACAGCAGTCTAATTTTGTTATAAATTATTCAATTAACTCTAATTTACACAAATTTGAAAGAGGATTAGTCAATCTGTTCCAATGTCTGCACTCATAAAATAAATGGATTTAAATGAATTTCTCAAACTGCAAGGGGGATATTCATATGTTCTGTGTATTGATGATGCCCATAAACATCAATATTGTATTATTTACAATATTCACAGTAAATTTCAGCAGAAATATTTATTTAAAATTATTTACATGTACATTTATTGAAAATATGAGAGCTAGGGCAAAAAAATTAGCATTTTTTCACCATGTGCAGCCCCCATTGTGGGCCTCAATTTACCCAAACCCTCTATTTTTTTAAGAAATATAGTAAAAAAAAAATAGGAACTAATTAAAATATGATCTCAATGCCAAAAAAATAGGAACTGACGCTGTAATCAATGTTTTTCCATGAAATACATACCTATTCTATAGGACAAACACCACTAAATGTTTTCCCACTTCCATACAAACTTGAGCCCCTGTCACTCATACATATAATGAATTTTGGGCAAATGGCCTTTTTGTCGTGAAAGTTCGAGATATTGGAAAACAAAACATTTTAACCAAAGGGCACCCCTCCTTTCAAATTTTTACCTGTAACTCCTACATATCTCAAAGAAACCCAAGTCTTGATATTACATTTTTATCAACTTTATTTCACTTGTCAAATACATTTCTTTTCTCTTATTGACCAATACGCGCCAGCTAGCATTTTCTCCTCCGCACAACTTTGGGTGTCCAAAATGTCTGCGCCCATGTATTTGTTTATGTAGGGGCTTTTCCTATAGAGTAAAAGAAACATTTATAAAAAGTGGTCAATTTAGTAAATTTAGAGCACATATCCATTGCTTATCTCACCTCTTGAATATTGGGACTGACAGTCTTAGCTTAAGTACACCACTGGCTGTTACATTTCACACCCCAGTCAATCAGACCCTCATCTGTTAAACAGAAAAAATGTCAATAAATTGAAGCATTTTTCTATTTTTCTTTCAAACTTTTAAAATAAAATGATTAATCTCGCATATGTTTTGCTTGTTTTTCTTATTCTCTCTAATAATATCTCAAGGTAGATCATGTTAATCATTCAGGGTAGCAGGTACCCGTTATTAATGGAAAATGAAGAAAATCAGCAGGTTTTTGTAAGAAAAAGCTAGGTTATTGAAAAAGTGAAAACTAATGTAGATAAAATAATCAATGGAAAGAAAGAGAATTATATGTAGTTCAAATGTACATAAGATTAAAAAAAAAAATCTATCAGCAGTGGGTTGCTGGCATCAGAGAATCAAATACATCCCCACTGAAAATTTTGTAATTTTGAAGGGGGGTGACCTATAGTTTAGCCAATTTTCATGGACATTTCATGGAATTGATGTTAAATATGTATATTCTCATGAAAGGCAAATATATTCATTTGCATATCATTTCTTATTATTGACATAATTAATAAATTGATTAAATGCCAAGGGCAGATAAATCATATTGTCTGATTGAATACAGTGCTCAATTGTAAGCAAAGTGCTTAAATAACTGCAGTTCTGAAGAAATTTATTTTCTAATAATCTATCAAAAGTTCTAAATAACTTAAATATTAAGAGATTAACTAGATTTTCTAGGAAAACCATACCTTGGAACTCTTAATGAAAGCAAAGGGACCATCCTGAGAGTGTCCATGTGTTGTTCATTGTAAGAGGGGAGGGTTCATTAATCTCCTCCTTCTTGAGAATGCATCGCTGAAATACATTTTATTTTATTAAAACATACTGATAAATGCATGTAGTAGCTTATATTATATTTTTTTATTATTTACACCATCTTTTGAATTTTTTATAAGCATTAGTGATGAAATAGCTTTAAAATATTCATGTTTAAATAGAATTTACTGAGATAAATATTTTTAAAAATATCTAAGAAATTGAAAAAAAATAACTGCAGATAAGCATGACTCTTGTTGTTCAAATAAACCACATTTTAAAAAAATTCCTTCATTTTCCAGCATCATTAGAGTACAAAATCCCCCCCCCCCTCTTTTCTGCAGAATAACAAGATTGGATATGGCAAGGAGGAAGGATATTCAGACACTTTTTTCATCATTTTTGCAATAATAATTTTGCAAATTTCTTAGATTTTCAATGTATTTTCTGCTAAAATATATTTTACAGTAATCTCAATTAAATTTCCTACTAGTAATCTCTAATTTTTCCCCAAACTATAATTTTTATATCAAGCCAGCACTGATTACATGACTGAAATTGGCTTTGTTGCTGGATTAGGCCCCTTAATTAAAAACAAAGTAACCTAATTACTTAACAGCAGTCTAATTTTGTTATAAATTATTCAATCAACTCTAATTTACACAAATTTGAAAGAGGATTAGTCAATCTGTTCCAATGTCTGCACTCATAAAATAAATGGATTTAAATGAATTTCTCAAACTGCAAGGGGGATATTCATATGTTCTGTGTATTGATGATGCCCATAAACATCAATATTGTATTATTTACAATATTCACAGTAAATTTCAGCAGAAATATTTATTTAAAATTATTTACATGTACATTTATTGAAAATATGAGAGCTAGGGCAAAAAAATTAGCATTTTTTCACCATGTGCAGCCCCCATTGTGGGCCTCAATTTACCCAAACCCTCTATTTTTTTAAGAAATAGTAAAAACTAATTAAAATATGATCTCAATGCCAAAAAAATAGGAACTGATTGATTTTTTGGCTGTAATCAATGTTTTTCCATGAAATACATACCTATTCTATAGGACAAACACCACTAAATGTTTTCCCATAGACTTCCATACAAACTTGAGCCCCTGTCACTCATACATATATTGAATTTCGGGCAAATGGCCTTTTTGTCGTGAAAGTTCGAGATATTGGAAAACAAAACATGACAGAAAAAATATACCGTCACGCGGCACTTTTACTTTCAATTTCCATTTGTTTACAACAAGGTGCGTTTGACACCAAATGAAAATCTCTAACCAAAGGGCACCCCTCCTTTCAAATTTTTACCTGTAACTCCTACATATCTCAAAGAAACCCAAGTCTTGATATTACATTTTTATCAACTTTATTTCACTTGTCAAATACATATCAAGTCTTTTCTCTTATTGACCAATCACGCGCCAGGTAGCATTTTCTCCTCCGCACAACTTTGGGTGTCCAAAATGTCTGCGCCCATGTATTTGTTTATGTAGGGGTTTTTCCTATAGAGTAAAAGAAACATTTATAAAAAGTG